ATACAGTAATAGAAAAATAAAAGAACCATCATCAAGGCTCTTAACATAGACACAACAATCATACTCACATCGGTTGTAGCCAATCTTGATCATATAGGAGTCAAACCGTTTATACCACTGTCTCGGAGACTGTTTTAACCCGTACAAAGATTTCTTCAATCTGCAAACTAAATGCTCGTTTCCAGGTTGAGTGAAACCTTCAGGTTGCCGCATGTAGATCTGCTCCTCTAAATCACCATGCAAAAAAGCAGTTTTAACATCCATCTGCTCTAAATGCAAATCCCAACTAGCCACCAATGCAAGTACTACTCGGATTGAAGTGTGCCTGACCACAGGAGAAAAGATTTCATCATAATCAACTCATTTTCTGCTGTGAAAAACCCTTCGCTACCAACGAGCCTTGAACTTCTCCCCCTCTTTTTCTGTTACTGCTGGTTTCTTCTTATACACCCATTTGCAACCAATCGGCTTCTTACCCTCAGGAAGGGGAACTAACTCCCATGTGCGATTGTGATTCAAAGACTCCATCTCCTCAACCATGGCTGCCATCCACTTGTCGTTTTCCTGACTAGTAACGGCATCATGAAAAGTAACTGGATCATCACTGCTAACAGTAAGTGCAAAAGATACCAAGTCTTCAAAACCCAATCTGTTCGGAGGCTTTATATTCGTCCGTCTCACCCTGTCTCTGGCGAGACTATAATCCTGCAAATCATCCATAGTGGAACCACCATAAGTCGGTTGAGAAGTTTCTGGTTTCTCAACTGGAAACTGCTCGAAATCTACCACTGTCGTGTCTTGCTTCTGCTGCAACATAGACTGTTCATCAAAAACGACATCTCTACTAATCACAACTTTCTTCGCAACTGGATCCCAAAACTTGAATCCTTTGACACCTTTCTTGTAACCCAGAAAAATGCACTCCTTCGATTTTTCATCAAGTTTGGATCTCTCATCAGCATGTACATGCACATAAGCAGGACAACCAAAAATCCGTAAGTTATCAAAACTAACATCATGACCAGTCCATACCTCTTCTGCAACTTTCCCAGCCAGCGATGCCCTTGGTGATCTGTTGATAAGGTAACACGCCATGTTAACAGCCTTAGCCCAGAAGTGTTTGGGAAGCCCCGCATTCAACCGCAAACATCTGGCTCTTTCATTCAACGACCTGTTCATTCGTTCCGCAACACCATTCTGTTGTGGTGTCTTGCGCACTGTAAAATGCCTCTGAATCCCATGCTCCTTACAGAATTGTAGGAACTGTGAATCTGTGTACTCCGTACCATTGTCAGACCGCAAACACTTGATTTTTCGTCCTGTTTGGTTTTCTACCTCAGCTTTCCACAGCTTGAACTTCTCAAAAACTTCAGATTTCTGTTTCAAAAAATACACCCAAACTTTCCGTGAAAAATCATCAATAAAAGTAACATAGTACCTAGATCCACCCAAAGACGATGTCGTGGAAGGCCCCCATACATCAGAATGCACATAATCAAGAATCCCTTGAGTTGTGTGCTTCGCAGTCTTGAAACGGACTTTAGTCTGTTTACCAAGAACACAATACTTGCAAAAATCGAGCTTACAGCTTTTGACACCATGCAACAAGTTTCTCTTGTGTAATTCTGCCATACCACGTTCACTAAGATGAGCAAGGCGCATATGCCACAATTTTGTCGTATCATCACAGGACTCAACAGAGTGAACTCCACCTGCAACGGTACTCCCTAACAATCTGTAGATATTCCCTGCAGTCATCTTGTCTTTCATCACAGTCAATGCTCCTTTAACAATCCGAATGGTTTCCCTATCCTCGTCAGCCTTAGGGATAAAACCATTCTTGTGCAAAGTGCCCAAGGAAATCAAATTCTTCTTCAAGTCTGGGATATGTCGAACACCACTCAACGTCCGAACGGAGCCATCGTGCATCTTAATTCTGACATCACCAATACCAACAATATTGCAACATCGATCATCACCCAAATAAACCGAACCAGAATTAACCGGCCTGTATGTCGAAAACCATTCCCTATTTGGCGTGATGTGATAAGAACATCCAGAATCAAGAATCCAAGCATCCGTCAATTGTGTCGTTGAAATAGAAAGCATATCACCCTCACTGCAATCAGAAGTATCATCCTCGACCACGTTCACAGACTTGGATGAGCCATCACGCTTCTCATCAGTCTGCTTTTTCAACTTCGGACAGTCTCGCTTCATATGTCCCGCCTCCTTGCACTTGTAACAGTGAATCGTCTTCTTATCCCTGGATTTGGATCTGGAATTCCGCTTCCCGGACCCTGCCTTCTCTGGCTTCCGTCCACGATCTCGATTACCCTTGACATATAAGCTATCGGCTTGAGAGCTTTCCCCTGCATTCTGCTTCAGCTGGTTGTGAGCCAACAAGGCTGCAGTAATCTCCTCAACGTTGATAGTCGCTTTCCCATATGTAAGAGTAGTCACCATGTGTTCGTAAGAGGAAGGCAACGAACACAACAGAATCATCGCTCTGTCTTCATCCTCAATTTTCACATCAAGCCGAGCCAGATCAGAAACGATTTGATTGAAGACATTCACGTGTTGCGCCAAATCGTGATCGTCCTGCATCTTCAGCCCATACAGCCGTTGCTTCAGATACAGTTTTGTCGTTAAGGATTTGGACATAAACTGACTTTCCAACTTCCTCCAAATTTCGTCTGGAGACGATAGATGCATGACGTGATACATGACCTCGTCCGCCAAGTATAATCGTATGGTTCCTGCCGCTCGCTGCTGCAATTCTTCCCAATCTTCCTCATCCATCGACGTCGGCTTTATAGGTCGCAAAGCCTTCAAGATCCCTTGCTGCGCCAATAGATCCTTCACCCTCGTTTGCCATAATCCGAAGTTACCCTGACCATCGAATTTCGCGACTTCGAATTTTGCTCCTGACATCTGATACCAATTGTTGACGAAAACGGGTAAAGAAAACGAAAGAACACGAGAATTTTACGAGGTTCGGCAATGTGCTTACGTCCTCGGTGCCTAGGCGGCGCTAGAATTTTATTCAATGATATTTTAGGTCTAGGTTACATCTCTATTTATAATAGAAAACCCTGGTACATAATTACAAAATCAACCCTGTACCGTACCGCGGGGGCTACGCCTCCGCACCCCCAACCCACATAATTTGTAACCCCACAACGAGACTTTCTTTGTAAGGACAGTTGATGTTCGCTTCGCTCACTCCGCTCCATCTCCTATCCTCTTTACTGGTATATTTATGAGTCATACCTAACATAAATACTATTCATTGGAATCATCTATTCCAGAGATTAGATGTTTACCGAGATGACATCATCAAGAGATAATACACGTGAACCCCAAACCAATGCCTTGCTAGTGAGTTTGGCAGCAACAGCTTGTTTGTTGCCTATATCGGTGGAAGAATCCTGCTCTACATCGGAGGACTTATTATTATTATTATTTGGCACATTCTTTCTCTTAACCAAAATAAACCTCCCTGAGTAAACTGCATAGCCAAGCAAATCGGATTTTTCATCCCCTCCACCAATATCGACTCGATGGTCTTCCCTTTTGGATTGATCAGTTTGATTATGTGTGATAGGGCCTTCGCTGCGTTTGGAGAAAGCTTTGTGCTTCTGTACGTTTCTCCGGAACACAATCGAGGAAGTGTGGGTTGCTATTTGAGAGCACAAGCTCAGCCGCCTCGATGACTGCCGAGACCTAACTCATTCCGGCATAAATCTCCTCTTCCTTCCTTTTTCAGGCGGATTTCAATTTTCAATTTGTCTCCTTTAAGCCTTTCCACTCTCCTAATTATTTAGAAATTTTGATAAGTTACAACTTGAAAATCGTTATTTGATCTGACAGATTGATGTTAAGGATCGCGCTGTGAGATCACTGGTCGTAATTCCAGCTCCCATCGTCATCACAAGAATAGGTAAAAAAGAAAGAATTTTTTTTTTGTATGTCTCCGTCTGTTTATTTCTACTCCGTGGTTGTGGAATTTGGCGGTGGCAATTACGGAGCAGAAGCGGCTGAACGGATATGCAGCACAGTGGGAGCTTCTCGAGTAGTAATAGTTGGTCAGTGAGAGTGCCGTCGTTTTCCCTGCAGGATAAGTTGATTGACACTTATGGTTTGGTTCGCGTAAGACTATCATTAGGAATGAAATTACCCTCTCGTTTGATTTATTTAACAAGAACGTGAGATTATAATGTTTTATTAAAATAACATGGGATAAGAAAAATTAAATATATATTTATTAATAAATTAAACTCTGAATATTAAAATAAAAATATTTACATGAAAATTTATAAAAATATATATATTTTTATTTTTAATTTATATATTTTTCAATAAATTTGTCCACAAATAATTTAATATATATTTTATCATTTTTAATTTTGTTCTTTGAAACTACAAAAATATATTTACACCAATATAATTATGAATTTATATTTTTAAGTATTAAAATATTAAGAAATGAAAAGAATGAAACCTTACACATTTATCGTAAATAAATTAAACTTACAATATAATTAAAATGTTTGGGTCGGGTCGAGTAGAATATTTTTTACCTTAAATCCGATTTCAACCCATAATCAAAAATTTTATACATTAAATCCGACTCGATCTGATCCGGACCCGAATTTTAAAAGAAAAATTTTGCTCCTATCGAGTGGGATCGGGTTGGAACTCATCGGATCCGATTCTAATTGTCATCCCTAGATTCAAGCAACTACGTTTACATGATATATGTACGTTGTCATTTGTCATATTTAAGAAAGAATATGAACAAATATTACATTATAATCACTTCAAACGATTTTAAAAAAGAAAAAAAAACTTTACTTTCAACTTATAAAACCAATTACATAATCATGAAAAAAAACTTTATTCACTAATTCATGTGTTATGATTCTCATTGAAATCATATCTGTTAATATTCTTTTAACTTTTGATTAAAACAAAAGGATATAAAGACGAGCATACACAAGCACATCACTGTTGTAATTTCACTCGCTCTCCCCACCAAACTACCAATTTTTGTTGAAAGCTGAACTGTTTTTATGGGGTTCCAAAGTGTACATTTTACAAGCATGAGAATCCACTTGCGCAGAAATCTCATCTTCATCCGCCCTCGCCCAAGAATGCTGTTCAATTCACCAACAACAACAAAAAGAAAGGAAAGCAATATATAAAATATATGCATTTAGTGAGTCAAAAAATAAAATAAAACTTTAAAAATAAAAGATAATCAATTTAAATATCCGAATCCATTTTATAAAAAATGTTATGTGGATTTGAATAACATATGTTCGAATCTAAATCAAATAATTCTTTTAGAGTCAATGTATGCATCCACTTCTTCTATTATAATCACAATTATCCAACTCATTAATTAATAAATATAAATTAAATACTATATAGGTTGTTATAAAAATGACCCTCTTAATCTATATTGTTTGGTTCAAAATGTTATGATTTAAATCCACTACAAAATGATTATTAGAGTATATGGTAAATTTGGATCTAACAATAAAAATATTAACAATTTAGACCCATTAATAATTTTAAAAATTATATTAAATTGTATTTATTAAATCTTATGACAGATTATTAGATTAAAATCTATAACTATAGACATTAATGTATAATATTATCATAAAATATGATAAAATAACTAAGTGACCAATCATATTAACTATGTCATAAATATTAAAGTGTCATGAAAATAAAGTATAAATACTATAAGTTATATCTGTAATTTGATGAGGGACATAATCATAAATTCTAAAAAATTGATCTATTATACAATCTATAAAAAAAATAACGATCCTCATAGAATATATTAACTTATATTTTCTTTTATCTTATTAAAAAATTATATTTAAAAGAAATATATCTTCTTAAAAGAAATCATTAACGTATGTGACGAAAGAAACTAAGTTGAAAGCAGACTAAATTGTAAAGGTTAAAATTAGAAAATCTCACCGCCCATAAATCTCGAGCATCGACAGCCGTCGACGGTTTAAAGCCTACATCGGACCAGGAAGCAGTGATGTTCGCCGATGAAGATCCTCTGTTCCATAAGACCACAGCTACCCTATTATTGGTCAAAGGGCCAGCCCATACCTACAATTACCAATTCGTTGTTGAAAAAGGTCAAACTATAGTTTTGACCCCCTTTACTGTGAAATTTTATTTTAATCCAGAAATAGGTCTGGAAAATTTCTTGAAGCAATACACGAAATTTATAGAAATGTGAAAGAGATTTACCTCAAGATCTCCATCTTTCTTCACTTTTTTACCCTGAACCCCAAGTTTATCTGCCACGTTCAAAGACTTCAATTTGCTCTTTAAGATTAAACCTTTATTGCAATTACAAAACTAGACATGATTTTTTACCTTGATTGACATCGATAACCTCGGTATTGCTTAATAATTGAAACGTCACGTTATCTATGGACGTGACATCGCACCCGATCAACAAAGGAGCCTATAAAATGATATATACAAAAACAAAGTATCACCGTCTAATATTAATAATTATTTTTAATAATATTTAATCTTAAATTGAATCGAATATGAATATAGGATATGATGGATTAATGAGAAAGTTAGGAATAAAATACTTTAGCTAATGCCCATATGCTGAAATGGCAGCGGTATTCTTCGGTTGTCATGCCGCCATTTCCTACTTCGAGCATGTCGGGATCTGGTTCACAAGCAAAGATTTTATTATTATCAGTTTTGTCTTCAGAGTTGTGTGTGTAATTTCTTCGATTCATATTTTATTTATTCATACCATTCCAGGCTCCAGGTTGAGCATACGAAGCCCATTGGTCGTTTTGATCCGCGATTCCTGTCATGCTATTGGGACATAAAATAGTTATGAGATTTAAAATTTATTAAGTATATTTTTTTAATTAATTTAGTTGATGGGAATATTATAATTTTGATGGCTTCATACAACTTATCTATTCTGATTTGAGCAAAGAGTCGTCGACGATAGTTCTGTAAATATAAAAGAACAGATAAACATGTTAAAGAGGATGATGAGGCAGGTGCTGCATACCTATCCCAGTTATCTTCAATGTCTCCAGTAGTTCTCCAACTATTTGCTATGCTTGGTGCCCATGTTGCAGGGTCTTCTTGTCCCCTTCATTTTTTTCACTATAACTTTATTAAAACTTTTAATTTAGTCATTAAACATTGATGGATATTGATTCATCACTAACCATTCACATAAAGAGAAAAATATGGGCCTCCCTGACTCCATTAAAGCTTTACTCATCTTTGGGTACCTACCCTCAAAACATGATTCCTTACACAAGTTGACAAGAAAAGAAGCATGTTTTCATCATTTCATTACATCATGTAAAAGCAAAACTTACCTTTCCTTTGGGCTTGCTCCAGTGTTTTCGCAGTTGTCATATTTCAAGTAATCCACTCCCTACCACCAAATTGTTTCACATTCTTAGATACAACAAGGGAAGGTGATTTACACAAAGCATTTTCCTTTGGGTTTACGTAACAGTAACAATGTCAATCGAATATGTAATCGATGCATACCCAAGAGGCGAAGGTTTTTGCATCTTGTTCTTCATGTCCTAGGGACCCTGGCATGGTTTGGCTACAAGTTTGAGTTCTGACAATATGAATACTTCGTTAAAATCTCTTTCGAGTTTCGAGCGAATTAAAAAGGAATTCATTATAGACGGACTAAAACTGTAATTAGACCATTTCAACTTATAGAAAATGGAAAAATACCCTGCATCTGAGTAAATTCCAAGCTTAAGCCCTTTGCTGTGAACATAATCTGCAAGTGCCTTCATTCCTGAAGGGAATGTTGAACCTTTAGGAACCAAATTCCCCTGACGAAGAAAACACACTTACATTTTTAACCACTGCAAGCTTTTGAGAACCAAAAAAGACCTCAAAGTTTGAAACATTTTTACCAGAGAATCTCTGTTGAGTTCTCCCCAACAATCATCTGATCAATTTGGCCCAACATTTATTTCAGATTAAGAAAGCAATAATGCAATGGAAGAATTAGTTAAATCATAGTTCATCACCTAGGTTTATATAGGTGTAGCCTACAGCAGCTAGACCAGTTGAGACCACTGCATCAGCTGCAGCATAGAGCATTTCGGTGAGTAATTTTTTTTGTGTACTGAAGGGTTCTTGAAAGTTCATATCTTCGTATCGATGTTCGGATACATATCGTAGACGAGTACTCGAAGTGTAAATTTGTGGAAGTGAAAGATCTGATTACCAGTTTCCTTGATCAATGTCTCGTTAATATCGCAATGGAAATGGTTCCAACTATTCCACCTACACATACAACAGCATTAGAATGTAAAAGTAAACTATGCTTTAAGAGTAGACTTATAAACTAATGAGATCAGATAAGATGAAAAAGGATGTATACTAATCACCCCATTTGAGGAGTTAAACCGAGGCCGTTATCCATCAGAGTCCTTCTAATGCCTACTTTAGCACCAATCTCGGTAGCAGAGATGGCCGGCAACCCAGACGACATAAGCATAGAACCGAACATCCCCAAGAAAACCAGAAAATATCTGGCCGGAGACGATGAGGGAGGCATATCAACTAGTGAGCAAAGCATGTGAAGATCAAAAACACAAATAATGCTAAAATATACGAGTAAAGACAAATCCCGTGACAGCAACAACTTACTTTAATATCTTGCGTTTGCTATCCTCTAGGCTCAGGCAAAGTGCTGAATCTTCAACTGCAGATTGAGACTCTGATGTATATATATAGTGCAGTGCCAGTTTTAAGCATGTTTTTGGTGTAATCGAGGAGGAAAGTGAAGCTTCAAAGACGTGCCAACTATATAGGTAGGGTCTTATCTTCACGAAAATAATAAAAGAAGGGGAGGTCACATTCATTAGTGACATGAAAATCATCAGCATAAGAATGTGGACATTAGGATCCTTCCATTATTTCATTCAAGTTAATGAAAGTTGCCAATAGAGCCAGACAATCAGCAGTTTTGAAGGTTCGATTTGTTCCATGGTTGATGAGTGAATCACACGTCTACTGGATGATGGCAACCTCGGTTATGCCTTGTGTATAAAATAAACCTGTCTAGTTTTCTCAAACTTCTCCCTAAATCCCCTTAGAGATCGACAGCGAGCGGCTATCGAACGTTCACCGGTGTCGGTTGTATTTTAACTTGATTATTACTATTGATTTGAACATATTTAAGCATGTAATTTTCCTCACTTGAGAATTTAAGGGATATGTGTAGTTGAAATTAGAAATCATGGTGCAAAGGGAGAGCGATGATTAATTGATGAATTCGTCCGTGAGTGTCCCTAGGCAAGCTTGTGACTCTTTTATTTGTTTTCTTTTTTTTAACCTTTGTCATACATATATGTCCATTGTGTGCGTGCAATATAACTGTTTTTCTAAAGAAGAAAACTGTGGGAGACGATTGTGTTAGGCCAAGTTATAGCTTAAGAGAAATTCATGGCCTTTCCGTGATCAAAACCCAAGTGGGGGAACGATCACCATCATCCTATGCTCTTCTTCCAAGCTTACTAATCCTTCATGCTAAACCAAACCACATATATATAATAAACCTGTCAACGAGCTAGGTGACTCGTACATCAAATTTTGAGTTTACGGGCCAACCCGACTCAAATATTAATATAAATTATATATTTCATTATTTATTATTTAAAATAATGAAATAGATAATTTATGCAAGTCGAACACGAGCCTAGAACTTTTTAGAGTTGTGCCTTGCCCTGACCAGACTAATAACAAAATAGTTTATATTTAATTAATCTTACCAATAATAAAATCTTTTATGTTATTATTTTCATGTTCTCAAAAATAATAAAAATATCCTTTATAAATTTTATGAGCAATATGTTTGTGGAATCTTCAAAATATATAAAACTGATGGAATACTAATAATAGTATACGCAATTATGGTTTTACAATGTAAAAGCTCTTTGCTTCTCCATTAGATACATTGGATTAAAGGCATATAACACGTCATATCCCTCATGCAACCTCCCCTTAATGCGAAACAATTGTATACTTAAGATATAAGTTGTTTCAATTAGACTCATGGTAAAAGATTCCTTCAAAATGTTACATTTTATATCAACATTGACATGATATTTGAAAAAGCACCCTAGTATACCTTCCCTACACAATGCTTGAGGTTTTAAAAAAAAATCGTAATAGCAAGTATTCACATTGATCCAAATGTTTCAAGGCATACACATACAATCGAACATTTACAAATATACACTTTGAATTTGAAATTAAGTAAAAGTCCTAACAAGTTAATCGGAGGTGTATGAAATCCTCAATACAATTTCTAACAATATATCATAAAATCTCATACAATACATCATTTGAGAGATCACATAAGGATATTTGAGATGCTATTGAAGAATTGAGAGAGTTCATAAGTGAGGACCAAAACCAAGATTCTCTATATCTTAAAAACAGGGATAACAAATAAGATAATGAGGATCATGACTAAATATGTATCAATCATGCTTCAAACATGGAAAGAATGACGTGAATAGATCTCCGTAGAGGTATATTATTTGCTCTCTATAATAAATAGGCGATGCAAAGATTCTTTGCATAAAGAGAAGGTTCGTTTTATAAAAAGCTATTCTCCTTTGTAGCAGAGATTCCCTACAGAACCATCTTGTATGATCATTTTCGGTAGTCATGTCTAATCCTATCAAGCATTGAACTAAAGAGGTCTATTATTTCACTCATAGTAAATAAAAGATGCAAATATTCTCTTCATAAAGGGACGAATCGTTTCACATGAAGCTCAATCCTTCTGCAGTAGAGATTTTCTACAATCCTATTTTGTTTAGTCATTTTCAACAGTTATGTCCGATCTTATCAAACATAGTCAATTGAGATTTTAGAATTAGATTTTATCACATCACAATCAGTAATTTAACGTATGGTTCGAATGTTATTAAATTTTTAACAGAAAATGATAAGTTTAACATATATGAATAGTCGAGTGACTATTTTATAATTTTTAATAGGTGAAATACTTAATAAAATAACACTCTATACTTAAAAATTATTTTATAACTTTTAATAATTAGACCTATCAAATCATAATCTTCTAATCGGTGGACATTTTGTGTACTTTCCCAGTATTTAATATAGTTTAACCGGTGACCGGTATATTTATCGATTTAACACCGGTCAGATTATATTTCTCGATCTAACACCCGTAGCAGTAAAGCGCGCTCCCTGCCCCATGTTATATGCTGATTTGGCGTCACGTGAGGTATAGCGCGCCCCATGTACCGCGCTATATGCTGACATGGCTTACACTTGGGTATAGCGTGCCCCCTGATCTGCGCTCCCCTGCTCAGCGTTATACCTGGGTATGAATTAAATTTAGTGCGAACCCTGGTCCGCGCTATACTTTTTATCTGAATAATTACATATAGCGCGGTGCAAGTACCGCGCCTTATATGGTTATAAATACCATTCACTCTCGGTTAAGTTTCTCGCATCTCTCCTCTCAACTTATAAATTAATACAACAATTCCGTCAACGAGTAATAATTCTGGTAATTTTCTCATATTTGATTTAGAAGTTCGTGCGATTTTTAGTTATAAATTTTGTTATACTTTTTTTATTATACTTATTGTTTATTATGATTATTTGAAAAAAATATTATACTAATTATTTTTAATTAATTTTTGTGTTTGTAAAATTAAAAAACAGGAGCATACGTCAAAATAGTTTTGCGGTACATGTAATAATATAAAATTATATTATTTAATTTATTTACGTTGATGTGTAAAAAATTTATTGTGTTATATTTTCGTTCATATATAATTTATTTAATCAGGTTTGTTTCAGTTATTTTTTTTGCAGATATAATATTGCCGCACTTTTAAACTCAAAGAATGACGCGACTTTCAACTATTGTTTATTATGATGGTGAAATTCGAGAAGATGAAACCGGTGTTGTTTTCGTATCAAATGAGCGTGTTAAAATATTATTTAAGAGAAACGTAACTCTTGAGGAGCTGATAACGAAGATTTCGAGGAAGATTCATGTTGGAAGTAGTAGAAGAATGTCGTCGTTGCAGTACAGATTTCCAACATCATTGTTGCCATTAACTTATATAGCGTTCGAACTTTCGAACAATGATGATGTTCAAATGATGGTTGAAACTCAAAGTAATTATTCAGACGCCACTATTGAGATGTATGCACATTTTGTTCAAGTGCGTGTTGTTCGGGGTCAATCATTAAGCTCCAACTATGGGCTGGCTGAACAAGTTGATCAAGTTGACAGCCCGACTACAGTAATGTGTAATAATGTTAATGCCATAATGGGGAGACATTCATCCGCAACTCCTTACGATATGTACCGAGGTGGGTCCACGAACAATCCGTATGGCAACACCGTGTCTAGTTCAAGGGGAAAGCATTCATCTGCAAATTTCTTTGACCATATGGAGATGACATCGATGCAACCATCTGTCAGTTTCCATTTGACACGATGGCTTCAAGCTCCAGGGGGAGGCACTCGACTGCGAGCTTTTTCGATCTCAATGTCGATATGCCTTCCAGTTCAAGGGGAAGGCGTGCAAGTAGTAGGTTCTTCGACCTAAATGTGAAGAGCATGTAGGAACCATCATCTCCACCAGAAGAACCGCTTCGTGAGCCTGGTGCGGATGGTGCTGAGACTGGACTATTCATTCACCCAGAATCACCGCAATTCAACTCTGATGATGATGAAGTTCCAGGAAATGTGGCACAAACTGACCCTCTTGCACACATGTATGAAGCTGATTATGGTGCAATGTACGGGCCAGAATTTGCGGATATGCCTCATCTTGGTGATTATGGATATTACTCATCAATAAATAATGGTGAGTTATATTTAGGCATAGAGTTTTCAAGCAAAGAAGAAGCGGTGATGGCTATAAAAAATTACAATATCTGTAATTCTGTTCAGTCCAGAGTCAATCGATCGACAATCGAAAAATATGTATGCTATTGTGCCCAACGCAAAAACGGGTGCAATTGGATGGTTCGCGTATCGAAAATGAAGAGGAAAAACAACATATGAGAACTAATAGTATACAACGGTCCTCACACATGTTGTGCTGGAGGGGTCAACCAAGATCATCCCAACTTGGACTCTGAAATGATATGCCAAGCCATCATGCCCATGGTAAAAACAAGCTCTCATATAGTTGTTGCAGTGTTGATTTCAGCTATACAATCGTACTATGGGTACACTGTCTCCTATAAAAAAGCTTGGTTGGCAAAATAAAATGTCATTGTCAAACTTCATGGCGGATGGGATGCATCTTACAACGAACTTCCAGGTTGGTTTAGGCTGGTGCGGATATTGAATCCTTGGACAATTGTGGACTTTGAAACCTCCTATGCATACCATAATGATCGAGTTCTTCGCAATCGAAGCCAATTCTACCGGGTTTTTTGGAGTTACCCACAATGCGTTAATGCTGCCAAATACTGTAAGCTTGTGGTCCAGATCGACGGGACTTTCTTGTATGGAAAATACAAGCAAGTTTTATTATTGACAGATGTCCAAGATGACAATCGCAACATTCTTCCAGTTGTTTTTGCTCTTGTCGAATGAGAAGACACAGATTCTTGAGCTTTTTTCCTCCGAAATTTACGTGCACATGTTATCACGAGGGAAAACATCTATGTCATTTCAGATCGCGGAGCTGGGATCAAAGCAGCAATGGAGTCTTTGGGTCCAATGTGGCAACCACCCTTTTTCCAACATAGGTATTGTCTCCGACATATTGCTGCGAACTATCATGGAAGGTACAAGAAGAATGATGAGCGTCAATTAATTGTGTGCATGGGTAAGTGAAACTGATGTAGTTTGTTTTCTTTCAATCGTTTTAATTTTGCAAAGAAAGCAAGTTAGTAAGTTATACATTTTTTGATCAGGTTACGAACTACTTCCTCGAACGTTTGAATCAATGCTTCAAGATTTGCGGGCGAAGAACGAGAAATGATACGATTACATCAACCTCATCGATAAAGAAATGTGGACGAACGCATATGATGGTGGATATCGATATGGACACATGACGACCAACTTGACAGAGGTAATCAATTCAACTTTAAAGGGTTCACGTCACTTACCAGTAGCGGCTTTGGTAAAGACTATATATTTTTGTTTGGGGGCGCTTTTTGTGAAGCTCGGGGGACAAGCTCAAACCTGGATGCAAGGCGGTCACGTCTATTACCCTAGATTAGTTGCAGATCTACAGGAAAAAAAATTGCTGCATCAAATGGAATGTCTGTAATAAGCTTCTCTAGAAGGCATGAAATGTTTCGTGTCATAAAGTTATCGCGACCTCTTCAAGGGATTGAAGTTGTGTCGTTAAGAGTAAATCTAAGGGACAGAACGTGCGACTGCGGGTTTTTTCAAGCTATGAAGTATCCATGCTCTCATGTGATAGCAGCTTGCTCGCATACACGTCAAGACTATAACCATTTTTATGGATCCCATATACCTACTATCTGAAGTTTTTAAGGTATACGAATTTGAGTTTCCCCCATAGGTAATGACAAAGACTTTGATGAGGTTCAAGATTGGCTTCCGATTGTACCAAATCCGAGTTTATTAAGGGAGTGTGGTCGTCCAAAATCCAATCAAATTCATTGCGATATGGATATTCAAGAAAGATCTAGACAAGACAGAAGATGTGGGCATTGTAGAAACTCAGGACACACTAGAAAAACATGTCCATTTCTATTGCCATCAAGTAACAATTGATGAGGAAATGATGTATTTATTTATCAAATAATAATTCTTGTACTTTGATTTGCATTTACTTCAAGTTAATGTCATTCGATAATCGCTGATGAAGATTAAAAAAACGAACACAATCATTAAATTTTATCAAACTAATAACAATTTGGTATTTGAATATAATTTTAAATACAACAAACTTACAATAAGAATTAAATGGTAAATGATAACCAAATTACAATAACTGATATTAAATGGTAATAAACAAAATTAACTTAAATACATTAAAAAAAGTTCAACAAATTTAACAAAATAAAGTAAGTATTAAATGAGAAATAATAAAAAATTACAATTTAACAAAATAAAGTAAATACAAATATAATAAAAAAATCTATCGATTCATGCGACGCGAATGTGTTTCGCAGGGCGGTGGCTGTCGGTTTCGAGGAGGATTTCTTTGTATCACTGGTTCTGACTCCTCGCTGTCATTATCGTCGTCGTCGTCGTCGTCCTGAGTAGGTACATTAGGTTGATGAGGAGCTGATGACGATGAAGCACCTATATAGAATAAGGACCCTGGAGGTGTATGACTGACTATCCCACCGGCCTGCGAAAATTAGGAAAACTCATAAAACCCATACATCGATGAGTGTGAAAACTGTACAGGAGATGTTTGTGCTGCAGCCATGAGTGATGAGGCTGAACCCGCCAGATATCCAATATATGAACCCCAAGTCAGATCTACAAACATAGACTCATAATAGCCTCCAGGAGGGGTCATATGTGACGGCGGCGGGGTCATAAAATCAGGTGAAGGCGGCGGCGGTGGCATCTGGTAATGGAAAGGCAACGACATAATATATGGCTGCGACATCATATATGGCTGCGACATCATAAATGGCTGCGGTGGCTGCTGTGAAGGTCCTGTTGGTGCAGCTGAGGATGAACCGGAAGCACCTGCCCTCCGTCCACGAGTCGAGGGACGATGGTGCTGTGTCGGTGAACGTCTCTGTCGACGTCACGGAAATGTCTGCCCTCGTGCATCCTCGGGAAGCAGAAACGGTTTCCCGTTACTGTTGAACCACTTATAATAACCGTCAGCAACACTCAAGAGGTTAAGTAAAATGGCTTTCTACGGGGAAGACGTCGATGTCGATCCTCCTACAATACAACCCACTCATGATACCTCACTAGCCAATTTGTTTCTGTCTTGCTGCGTCTATCTAAGCTATGCAACTCGTCCATATTGCGAGGTGCTTCCGGAATTGGTTGAAAATAACCAAACTGCCGGAGCACGCGATCAGTAGAGTGCCACTCGACGGTCGCATAACAGATCAGAGTGACCATCGCAATCCAAACATCTGATGGGCCCCTCAACTCAGGTGGGATCACCGCCCTCACATCATCAGTACAATATGACACACATTCAAACTAAAACAAATATTATATAATTTTTTATCAAAATAATAATCTAATTATATAACTATAATCTAAAATCGATTTTTAAACATTAAAATTCATACATGTGTGCCAGCCTTCTGATCGATTAGCACCCTAATTTTTTCTAAATCATCAAGTAGCTCCTGATGATTTTTCCTATCAGTAGACCACCTATTCAAGGAAAAAAATTGTTATACGTTGTATAAAATTATTAATATACAAAATCAGTTTTATAATTACCTCAGAAGTAGTGGAAATATGAATGGGTTCTTCACAACGGGACATAAAAAGGGCAATCGATATCATGCCCAAGACTGCAGCAGCATGAGACATCCGCCGATAGCATTACGCCTGTAGTCAGTGGCTCCACACATCTCCCTGTACAGCAAAGCCAAAACTTTCGATCCCCAACTGAATGATCCGGCCAGACGAAATTCGCTAAGATGTCCCAACCACATGCAGTGAACTAGGTTGCGCGATTTGTCTGGCATCAGCAACCCTCATATCAATTGCAGTATGCATGCCCGTGCATAAATCTTAACTTTATCCTCATAGGCGTCTACGCTCAACTCCCGAAAATTGGCATCTAACCAATTTAACGGTATCCTACCTCCGATAAAACTTTCCGGGACACGTCCTAGATTATCCCGACACAAAGTAGTCCAGGAACCTTGCGAGATCCCTGATATCACATCTCTATCCACCAGAAGCCCTAGATGCATAACAACTTCCTCAAGTGTAATTGTGCACTCTCCGCAAGGAAGATGAAATGTGTGGATCTCCGGCCTCTACCGCTCTACTAAGGCAGAAATAAGGTCTGATTCTATCTTACAGTGACCCTGATATCTACCTATGTAACCAAATCCAGCCTCTACTAAATACGGCAAGACACGACTAGGTATCACTAACTTAAGATTCCTAATAAAAATATCTAATACACGGTCCTTCTCCTAAAATTAAATAATTACACAAATTAATTCTTAATCTAATAATCATGCATTAAATAAATCAACAAATTATTACAAATAATTTAAATTAAATTAAAACGTTAAAATGTTACCATATCAGCAAAGTGTCGTGATATATGATTTTCATCCAAGCGAAGTAGACCGCCTTCCATTATATATTTGCAAAAAAATTATATTAATAAATTATTAAATAAAGTAAAATATTTAAATAAATTAAATACATAATATTAAAAATATTATAAAATATACCTTAAATAGAGAGAGTATTTGAGAGAATATGGTGGGATGAAAGTAATAGATGATGGGGGTATTTATAGGGAGGATTGAGGGTAATTAAATGTATAGCGCCCCTGTACCGCGCTATATCCCATGTGTCAGATAAACAGTTATAACGCGGATCAGGGGTCGCGCTATACCCACGTGTAAGCCGGGTAAGCCATGTCAGCGGCGCGCTATACCCCACGTGACGCCAAATCAGCATATAGCGCGAGTTAAGAAACGCACTTTACTTTTACGGGTGTTAGATCAAAAAATATAATTTAATCGATATTAAATCGATAAATATACCGATCACTGATAATTTTTCGAGAAAAACGCCTTCGTTTGTGTACTTTCCCAATATTTAATATAGTTTAACTTTTAGTAATTTCGTAACGAAAGAAAAATAGCAGTGTTTAAAGAAAGCGAAAGGCGAAGGCAATCCAAAGTCCAAATGCAACCAGCACCACACACAACTCCCGCATATAAGAAAGGAATGAAATTGAGGGGATGCGAAACCACTTGAGTGGAGAAGAAACAGAAGATGACAGCCACGGCTCTTCCCGATGTGGTGGCTTGTCTCTGTTCGCTGCATTCGCCGCCGCGCACGACGGTAAAAAAACCCAGAATCATAGAAGGACTCGCCTTCCCTCAACTTCGCAGTAACAAGCTGCCTATTCTTGGTCGTGGCTATGGTATTGGTAACCGTTGTTTCATCACTTGCTATCGTGACCCCTCCGCTGAGTCCGGTGACAGCGTGTTAGGACTGAGTCAGATAAAAGAGAAGTGCAGTAAGTGGCAATGGAAAGGCCAGTACTCCATCAACTACTTTGTCTCCTCTACTTCCTCTTCGAAACCTCCTTTGCTTCTCGTTCACGGGTTCGGTGCCTCCATTCCTCATTGGCGAAGGTACCCAAAGTGGAAAACATCGTTGATTTTCAATTATTTGGATGATTGTATTATTTGATCTAAGTACTTGGCATTTGTTGTAGGAATATTGGCACATTGGCTCAGGATTACACAGTTTATGCAATCGACCTTCTGGGTTTTGGTGACTCAGATAAGCCTCAAGGTTTTTCATATTGCATGGAAGCATGGGCTGAGGTAAATTAACTACCCCAAACTCACAAAAAATGACATTTTTACTGTTCAAGTCAGAAGTAGTCCTTCTAATCTCAATATTATTGTACACAGTTGATATTGGATTTCTTGGATGAAGTTGTTCAGAAGCCTACCGTCTTGATTGGTAACTCTGTGGGAAGTCTTGCTTGTATGATAGCTGCTTCAGGTAGTTTAAAAACCATTGAATATCATTGTCTTGTTTTTGTAAAACAATGTTAGAAAACCCATGTTTTGGTTTGTGATGATATGCTTTGCTTGGTAAAAGAATCTAGTGGGAACATGGTTAGAGGGATTGTGTTGTTGAATTGTGCCGGTGGGATGAACAACAAGGCGATTGTTGATGATTGGAGGATCAAGCTCTTTTTTCCTTTGCTTTTGTTGTTTGATTTCTTACTGAAGCAAAGACCGATCGCTGAGGCTGTCTTCGAGCGTGCCAAGCAAAAGTATTCCATTCGGTTCAACCGTTTTTCTTTTCTTTGTTCCTACTGAAAATCATTGTTACTCATCCGGTTGTGTTTAATGCAGAGATAATCTAAGGAACATTCTGTTATCTGTTTATGGAAATAAAGAGTCCGTTGATGATGAACTGGTTGAGGTTTGGCTATTGATCCCGTGGCCTTATTAACACAAAGTATTGAACTTATTGTTGATGTTCTTTTACAATGCAGATCATCAACGGACCGGCAAACAATGAAGGTGCTCTTGATGCCTTTGTGTCGATTATAACCGGTCCGCCAGGGCCAAACCCCGTGCAATTGATGCCGAGAATTAACTCACCTGTCCTGGTTTTATGGGGTGATCAAGATCCCTTCACCCCGATCGACGGGCCTGTAGGTAAGTACTTCTCTTCCTTACCTTCGAAATCGTCGAATGTTAGCCTTTATATGTTGGAAGGTGTAGGACATTGCCCCCACGACGATAAACCTGACCTAGTTCATCATAAGTTGCTTCCTTGGTTGGCTCAAGCTACTGCTTTGTGAGAGCCATTGATGTAATTGCTAGAGACTGGTGGACATTTGTAAAAGTAATTTTTTTTAAATGATACAAAGTATATAGCAATGGTATGTCATTTACCCATGATGTATGGAATCTCGTATATATTTATTTATTAATTTGATTTAACCATTTGATTAACAAATATTGGTTTCTTACTCTTTGATCGCTTGTAATAAGCAAAGTCTAAATGCGTTTTTATCATTTTTTTATTTAATTTATTATAGTAATATGCTACATCCAATATTTCTATTTAATCAACAATATTTTTAGAATATTTAAAGGAAATAAATTTTTTTGGATGCAATAACTAATCAATAAAAAATATGGAATTGGGTTAAAAGTATAATATTTAATATAATTTTAAATTAAAAATAAAATCATTTCTTTTTATAATTGAGGAGGTGAAAGATTTGAATTTGGACGAAGGGTCATTAGGATATTAAATTATCTATAAAAAATCAAATCATTAATAATAAATACAATTTTAAAAAATTTAAAAGCAAAATCTATTACTTAGTTAACTTATGAAGGGTCAAATACTCATTTAGCCCTCAAAGTTGCACTCATTTTTCATTTCGATACCTATGAAAAATTATATTTCTGCTTGAACTTCAATCATTATTACATTTAGTTTATTGACTAATGACATTAGCCAAGAAACTAACAAAAATAATAATTGACAACCTTATGCATGTACCAAACTTGATGGAAGAATTTTGTCGATCTTGTAGTCTTATTTGATCCAACGAAACTAATCTTTGTTTAAACTATTAAATAGATAGACAGAGGACATTCCTGATTTACACGGAAAAATAATGAATTTTTTTCTTTAGGTGCTAAAGTGAGAAACATGTACAACATTGAGGGCTAAAAGAAAGATTCACCCAAATATAAACTTGGTGGTTCAAGTTTTATTCTCTAAGAGGTGGCTCAAAAGTTTGGAATTTTTTTAATAGTAAAGGGTGATTATTAATAATGTATATATATATATATATATATATATATAGAATATTTTTTTATTATTAACAACGTATTCGAATTCGAAACTTCTAAAAAAATAACATTTTATTTTATCATTCAATAAAATCAGGTTAAATTGTATTATTAATTCGAAATTTAGTTCACATTTTAATTTTAAATTTTTATAGTTCTTATTTTTTAAAAATTTAAAATTTTATATTAAAACCCAATTAAGACCTATTAAATTTTGAAATTTAAATTGATTAAATTAGAGAGAAATAATTAAATTTACAAGTTCAGTATAGTATAAAAGTTAATAAATTAATAATATAATTTAATCTAGCATGTTTAATAACTATAATTTAAATAAGAAATCAAAGTTTTGAAATTTAAGATATACGTAAATTAAAAATAATTAAATTAAATATTAAAATCAAAATCAATTATTTTCACATAACAAAAATATTAATAACATTATTTCATCATATTATGTGACAAATCGAATATGATATAAATGTGTAAATATATTTAAAATAGTGAGAAAATATCAAGTTATTAATAAATAAATAACACCTGCAAAAATATACTAAAATAATTAATTATCTGAGAAAATAACCTCAGTGACAAAAAATGCCTTATAATATACGATTTTAACCAACTTTTTTTAGATTTGCCAAAATGACTAACTAAATCGCAATGCGATCGATAATTCGTAACGCGATCTCCAGTATCGCAAATCAGTTTCCAGATTCGCAACGCGAATCTGACTATCGCAATGCGAATACGTAAATCGCAATGTGAATCTGTAAATCGCAACGAGATTCTGACTATCGCAATACTGAATTTCAAATTCGCAACTCGATTTCTGAATTCGCAACAGGTTTTAATTTCGCAACACAAATGTTTTGGGTATATAACTACGCAGCAGCATCAACTTATAACCTAAATCCCTAAATCGCAACTCATTCCATCTCCATCTATCACTCTCTCCGGCGACATCCGTTCCTATATCCAACGACATCCTTCCCCATCCGGCAACATGTTTTAGTTTCGCAGCTCGTTTGTTTACTAAATTAATTTATAATAATGAAATCATCTAATGTTGATCATGTTTGGATATATTTGTGTTTTGGAGGGTCATGGGAGAATGTTCATGGTGTTTTACAATATATGTCTTTACCCATGAATCTTCAACTAAAACTGTCATTAAAAAATTTAACTTATGAAACTCTAATGTTACGTGTTGCAAATAAATTGAATTTAGAGCCCCTAAGTGGATTTAGGCTATCTTATCAGAGAAATGGTAAAGTTTATTTGTTAACCGACAATGAAGATGTTGAACGATTCATTGCTTACATTAGTGTTTCAAGTGATGATGTTACATTGTATGTTGTTGAACCTAGAAGTAGTGAAGTTGGGTCAGTAGCGGGTAGTAATCAACTAAGTTTTTCAACCCCAGTTTGTAGTGCTCAAAATTTAATGGTTCCACCACAATTTCATCACCAAGCAAATATTGTTTCACCACATTTCCAATACCAAACACAATCTCAAAACCCACAACCTTTCCCTAACCCAAATCCCAATCAACTTTTAGCACCAAATTCCGGTTTTCGTATTGATCAGTTAGACGATGATGAGCCAACAGAAAAAATTGTGAGTATTAGTCAGTATTCAAAATTTGATATTGGTCAATACCCGGACTTTAATCTTGGTCAATACTTGGATTTTGATGATTTTTCAGAAGAAGAAACAGACTCTGTGTGTAATGATTTTGATATTGGTCAACACTCGAATTTTGATGATGAAACAGCCGTTGCCGAGAAAGATGTTGTTGATGATAATGAGGAGAAAGTTACGACTGTAAATGAACATGTTGAACATCCATTCTGTAATTCATATAACACTGAATAAGAAAAAGAAGAAGAAGAAATCCCCAAAGAAAAGTCCCCGAAGAAAATGCCACGGGAGTATAACTGGAATATGCCAGAATTACTTCAGATACCGGAAGAAGAGTTGGTAAAGATAGCAGTTGATTGTTACACAAAAATTATTCGTATCAAAAAAGATGATTGTTTTGATACAAATGAAGACTTGAAGATAGCTTTGTATATGAAATGTGTGGAAGATGGCTATCAACTAAAAGTTAACAAATCAAGCAAAGATCGTTTCGAAACAAGGTGTATGATTGACAAAAACTGTATGTGGCGTATGATTGCAAAGAGGATAAAAGATTGCGAAATGTTTCAAGTTAGGAATTTTATTGATAAACATACATGTTCAAGAACCCAAGTTTTTCCTTACCATAGACAAGCAAACAAAAAGGTGTTGGGTGGTTTTCTGGCTGAGTTAATGTTTTTGAATGGTAGGGTATATCGGGGACATGAAATTATGACTGACATGAATGCTCGGTTCAAGATTAGTATCTCATATTCTCAAGCTTGGAGAGCCAAATGTTATGCCTTGGAATTGTTGAGGGGGTCGCCAGAAGCATCGTTTGCCCAACTGCCGGCTTATTGTCACAATTTAAAGCTGAAAAATCCTGGGTCGGTAACTCATATCAAAACAGATAGAGATGGACGCTTTGAGTTGTTGTTTATCGCCATTGGTGCTGTGGTTAGTAAATCAATATAATTTTGTTGACTCATTTTTGTTAGTTACATGCATTTCACATTTAAATGATTATATTTCTTGTGTATATGATTTTGTAGATTCGTTCGTTTATTAATTGCATGCGCCCAGTTATTATAGTTGACGGAGCACATTTAAAAGGTCGATACCTTGGAGTAAACTTATTAGCAGTAGCCATGAATGCTAACAATGGGATACTGCCAATAGCTTACGAGGTTGGCAAATCTGAAACCTCTGATTCATGGACATGGTTTATGGGGCATCTTAGGGATTGCATATGTCTTATTAGCAATCTGACAATCATATCCGATAGGGCAAACTCAATTGACAACGCTATTAGAAGGTGTTTCCCAGATGCTTTTCATGGACTTTGTGGTGTTCATTTGTATAGAAATCTAAAATCAAGGTCTGCTGGTATAAAAAATCACAAATGGACATACTGGAAGGCTGTAAAAGCTTATCGGGAAGTGGATTTTAATAAGCATATAAACTGTTTAAGACGTGTTTTGCCTCAGTGTGCTCAAACACTAGAAGATGTCGGGTTTGAAAGATGGTCAAGAGTACATCAACTTGGAGCAAGATATGGTTTCATGACGTCTAATAGTGCAGAATCAATCAACGCTCTAAGTTGTCATTCCCGGAAATTACTCATTACTATGTTAATGGAGTTTTTTCGAGCCTCTATTCAACAGTGGTACTACAAGAAAAGAAACCATGCAGGTATTATTTCTTTAAATTTGTAACTTATCATATATTTTACTAAGTATTATTTATTTAAATTTAGAGGAACATTAGAACATCGTGTTACACCATGGACAGAAAAAAAGATAACGAAACGTGTTGTGAAGTCAACGTCATGGAGAGTTGAACCATGTTCAAACACTTTGTTTGAAGTACTGGATAATAACTTAAATGGGCTTGTCGATCTAAATGCAAAGACGTGTAGTTGTATGAAATGGAAAACATCTGGTTATCCGTGTGGCCATGTTATAAAAGTTTCTCTTCATCTAAACCAAGATGATTCAAGCGCATACACTATGGATTGCTACACTACAGAAGTATATCGACAGACTTATGGCGAGATTGTCTACCCTATTCCACATCCTTCTGAGTGGGACATACCAGATAACTTACAAACAATTTTGCCACCAGCCATGGACAGAAGGCTACCTGGCCGACCAAAAAGTCACGATCGTATACCGTCTAAGAGTGAAGAGAAGAAGAGATCGACATGTAGTCGGTGCAAGGAAAGTGGTCATACAAGGTTGACATATGGATCACCAGTGCCATCACAATCATCTTTTCCTCTACCAAAATATGGATCCTCATCAAAATCCCAATCACAACCGGCTTCACCTTTTGGGACTGTTAACTTAGGTATTTTTAAATGCAAACGTTGTATTATATGTATATTATGTGTGAACTTTTAACATTTTCAGTTAGGCATGTATTAGTAACTTGAGTTTGAACATTGCTATGATAAGTTCAGTTGTTATCACTTATTAGACATTCATTTGACTATCGC